CCAAGGTCTTTCCCTGGGCTGGCCTAGGAGTAGGATGTAAAAATCCTATAAGTAAGAAAAGATGTCACGTGAATGGAAATACTGCATCTTCTCTACTCTGAAGTTAATATCAGTTCAGATCAGCAGCTACAGCATTTGTGGACTTTTAGTATTGGAAAATCTGAATATTCAGGGTGCAGCTGTTACAATCAAACATGCTCTTAACTCCTCAGAAAGGAGCTACTTGTTTTGAATTCTGTGTGTGTGTGTGTGTTAAAGCTAATATTTGAATCAAATTAGAAAATTTATTGTTGTAACCAAGCTATTTGATCTCTCTTCAGAATAGGAAAATAGACATCTTCATGTGTAGCTATTGGCTGATGCATGACCAGAAGTTTAATTTCTATTTTCTAGAGGAGTCTGAAGACTTCAATTGAGTCTAATGCTGGAAAGATGCAGAAACAGTGATGATACGGTACAATCTGATACGATACAATCCAATATAATACAAAGAATGATTTACCCAATATAGTGACCGCTCCATGTGTATCAGTTTCTGTGTTGGTAGGGAAATAAAGTTACAGCTATTGATTGAATGCAAGTGACTAGAAATACTCATTGTAAACTGAATGAATCTTCCTCATCCTCAGTTCTAGGGGATGCCTACAGCAGAAGACCTGTATTTTATTATATTGGCTTGGGAGATAGATATTATATTGGCTCTGTAAGCCACAGACAGCATGAGGCTCAGCTAGCTACCTGAGAGCAAGTCACTGGGAGTGCAAGAGTGCTAGATCTACATCTGCTTGTTTGCACTCCTAGAGTCCCACAGCAATGTGCAACGCGCATCACTTTCTACATGACTTTGTTGGTCATGAGCCAGAGCAGGCCCCACAATAACGACAGGTGAGAGGGAAAGTTTTTGCACCCTATTTTAACAAGATATGCCCTTAACACTAGCCAAACCAGTGCTGTTGAACTTGCTTTATCCAGCCATTTCTCCATTTTCCTCAACACAGATATTCATAGCCAGAAGAACATGGCCATACCACCAGAGCCGTCAGTATGGCTTTTGGAAGTTTTTGGTCCTGATGAAAGACTCGGACCTTCTATAGTCCTCTGAAGTAAATTTCAGAGCCTTTCCATAGTTTGTGGACATACTGCACTTGTCTACTGGCTTTGTAAAGAACGGGACTGCTTCCCCTTATTTCAGAGGAAAAATATTTTACATCTGTTGTGTTTAGAGTCTAAGAGAATAATAACCCATCCAAGGTGGTACTCCCTTCCAAATGGTCAGTAGCACAGTGAGTCTTACCTAGGCTGCTAGTAGTGGTGGCTACTCACTGCAGATGGTTTGGAGTATCCCTATGTAGGCAATTCACTGAATAACTGTCAAATATCCTTTAGACCATGATTTCTGGATCAAAGAGCCTTTTGAGCTTTTATGAGGCTTGAACACTCAGAGCTTGAAATTTTGTAGAAGGCCATGTCTCTGTTTCCACAAGCACTTAACTCCTTGGTAGCATTTTCAAATGATGAAAAATGCTTCTACTGTGGTTGAAGACATCCTGTTACTCCAATTAGAATATGCCTAGCAGTTCTGAAATGAAAACTGGTTACACCTTTGTGAACACTAATGCTAAATTTCGTCTTTGGTGCATAAGGGTTTGGCAGCTGCCAGCAGTTTTCACGCCAGTCAGCTCTGTGCAGCAATAGCAAAATCTGCTTAGTGTCTACAGAGATAGCGTTTCATCCTCCTCTTCTCCACAGCTCAGTCCCTGCCTCACCAAGGGCTTTCAATAATTAGAAAACATGAGTCTCATGGCTATATGCACAACAATGTCTTACAGCTCAGTGCCAGCACACTCAAACAGTGACAGTCACCAGCACCAGGGTAACAAAAATCCAGACTTGCCGTACATCTGCTATGTTTAATGAAGCAGTCTCTATCCCCCAGTCAGTACCTCATTGTATAACTGCATCAAAATCCTTGTCTAACTGATATTTGGACTCTTTCCTCAAGTCAAGAGAAATATTTTTCTTCAATGATTTGAATAGGAACAGAGTCAAATCCTTGAAATTGAAAGCATCAAGGTTTTTCATAACTTTGGAAGTCACAATACTCAATAAATAATAATTGGCTTTTCCTAAATGGTAATGTAAGAAGCAGAGTGGCTGTTGAGAGAACATTATATGTAACTATTATACTCTTGATTTGTATGGAACTTATCATTGGATCTCAGTGCATTAGGGTGGTTGTTTATCCTATAACCCTCTTTCCTATTTTCTATGTAACTTCAATTTGCCAATTATAAGAGGGATAATAGAATTTCTGCATCTCATAGTACTGTATAACTCAGTTCTACAATCTTGGGATGCTCAAATATCATAGTACTAAGGAAATAATAATTGTTTATAATCACAAAAGTAATAGAAGTGTGGATCATTATATGAAATCCATTTTTTTGCAGATTCTCATGCACTTTACAGAGTTTGTCTGTTAATCATGACGGATAGTCATATATGCAGGTAGCCCAAGTCTGAATTTCCTTAGTTTTGCACTTCCCTAGTGATCAATGAGAATGGATAAGGAAACTCTTATTCAGATATGTGAGAATGTGAGTTTTGTGTCAATGCTTAAATGAAATATGTGATGAAGAAAATAGGACATACTCAGAACATACTTATACAAAGTAATCCTGAATGATGTGACTGTATTTACTGAAAAATAAGAATTTACAGCTAAGTGCTGCATTTTGTCACATATTATTCTTGATGTCAAAGACATTACATTCCTTTATCTATATAGCATTTTTAGAATAATCATTGCAGAAAAATATGAATACATTTGAAAGAGTGTGCTTATTCAATTGCATAATCTTCTTTTTCAACATCAGTTATAGGGGTTTTGTCTCCACTAAAAATTTCTTCCTCTCAAAGCCAAAGGCAGGATAGAGGCTGCTACCCCGGAGCCTGTTAATTTTCTCCAGTCTGCTTCAGAGCAAGAATTAATTGTTTCTTCTTCCTCTGCCTTTATACATTTAAGATTTGACAATGTTATTTTTTATACTTACTCTACAATATACTGTCTATTTAGCTTTTTATATTCCAGAAAAATATGCAAACTGTGTATAAACCTGATGACTATTATAATGTACTTTCACCTGACCGGAAAAGGCATAAGGTCAGATCAAATAATGACACCCTAAACTGAATTAAGTAAATTAGAGCCATTTGTTAGTGGTATTTCTTTAGAATACCCTGATATTTCATGTCATATTTTTCAAAAGTGTTTGTCTTAAAAACTATGTTTATTTCTGGTGTTGATCTCTGTTTTGTGTTACAAGTTAGAAAAAAACTGTCCATAGTCTTCTCTAGAAAAACATAGTTCTAAATCACACAATGCTGGCTAGGAATAGTGAGTATGAAAGCCATAGGGGGCTCATCATAGGTATTATTTCAGTTTTGTCTCATGAGATGTATCAGTGTATACAACATACTCTTTAAAAGCTTTGTGATGTCTAGAATTTGGAAATTGTTTCCACTGAGAAAAGCCAGTATATTATATATTTCAAAGCAGTAAAAATATTTGACCCTGAATAACAGATTCCATAAATAGCTATTCTAAAAGCCTCTTTCCTGAAATAAATCCTTGCTGAGGAAGAGTCACATTGTACTCTCCAGTGGAGCAAACTGCTGACATGAATATTTCTTACGTTACAGAATTTAAGCAAAGCTTGTTTTTCTCTTTTGTCTCTCTTCAAATCTGTTAAAAAAAAAAAAACAGCTACAGTGCTGCAGTTATTCATTGAAGGCTGGTTAGACATATTATTTAGCATTACATATATATAAAATATATAATGACATTGATCAGAACATGTATTTGAAAACAGTCTCAGTTATAACTTTTATTGGTGTTAGGCTTAATTCACTAGATGAACAGGTTATTGATGTATCATCAGCAGCCTTCTCTACTTATGTGAAGAGAAACCTTAAAAAATATTTACAGTGGAAATACTTTGGGGGTTTACTGTTTTTGTTAAGCCCTCCCACCTCTTTTTTGTAGTTTGAGGCAGTTGACTTGAAAGATTTTCACATATGACAGAGCTGTAAGGCTGCAAAGATTTGGCCAAGTGTTCTCTCATTTTTTCTGGCAGGGGGAGGGGTGAATCCTGTGCAAATTCGCTAAATACCTGTGAAATAGTTGGCAGCTGAAGCTTACAAGTCCTCAGATGTACTTAATGAAGTAATTCCTGACTCATTTTTCACATTATCAATTCTATTATAATAATGGTGAAAGAAAGTAGAAGAAGGAAAAAAGATATGGGCTGGAAAGCATAACCGGTTAAAATCATGAGGGAACAACTAAGAATGAGGAAGGTACAAAAACTGACCAGTAAGTGACAGAAAAGAAGATGATAGCATGAAAGACAGAGCCTTGACCTAGAACTGCAAGGGGGGGGGGGGGGGGGGGGGGGGGGGAGGGGGGCGCAAGTAGGGAAACCAAGGAAAGAAAAATGAATTAAAAAGCAAGAAGTAATAACTTAAAATGGAAGCAAGTAAAAATTCCTCATTGCCTCCTCAATAGGCTTAGAAGTATTATATTCCTTGTAAAACTTGTAAAGTACATTACTGATAAACTTGAAATGTTAACATAAGGTGTGTCTTATGTGAGTCCTGTAAAAGTTTATTGCTCATGACATTTTTAGAAAGCAAATACAAAGACTATTTCAGTCAATACAAACACACTTCTTTTGAAGTTAATGACTGTAATATTATATTTTTTCCTAAAAAAAAAAAATCCCAATTTTAATAACTTTTTCTTGAAAGCTACAATTTCTTAAAGAAAAACACTCTTCAAAGAAATGAGGGACTCTCAGAATTTTAAATGCATTAGTATGGTTATCTAAATCAATATACTGGAGGCAAGCAGCTCTGGAAATTATCAGTTTGTGTAAATAACAAAAGATAAATACAGCATCAATAATAAAATGCTAATGATTCTTGCATCTTCTCCTCAGACTGGAATGGGACACCTGCGTGTTACAAAAGAGGGTCTTCGTCTGGAAGGGGAATCTGAATTCTTATTCCCTCTTTATGCCAAAGAAATCCACTCTCGAGTGGTAAGTGATAATCTTACCACTAAGCAGATAATCTTTCAATAATGCTAAATTAATGCACTGATGAACAGTTGAATTTAGGCAAAGTCTAGGCAGCTGTCATGGAAATATAAATGCATTTGTGTACGTGCATGTATGTGTATGTATACGTCTATGCACACATGTTTTTGCATACTTTACAAGCATGGTCAGTTCAATGTTCTGATGCTATGGAAGAATTAATGTTTTTCTCTTAGGCATGTGATAAGAAGTAGCTCTAAAAGGAATTAAGTCATATGTAAGTAATGCTAACATTTTAAGAGTGTGGAGGAAGTTTTTCATTATTTTTACCGATATATTTTTTTAGTGTAGGCTTCCCTGTGATGCTGCTTGTTTTGTTTATTCACCCATTACAGAATAGTTTCAATATCTCTAAAATCAGTGGATCCTATCAGAAAAATTACAGTTCTTCTAATAAGTTCAGGTTTTGTCACTTTTAGGACAATGATATTAAATGTATTATATCTTTATATATTTACATATATAAAATCTACCAGACTAAATGGAAATATTCAGGATTTAATCATGTTTACATAGCTAGAAAACTGTTGTTATTAAGGTAAAGAAAGAATAACATTTCATCAAAGAAAATATTAATGAAACAGATTAGCTTTAAAATTGCACTGAGAATGTGTAGAAAAGATTTTTATTGGAGTACTGGGTTTAGAGGAAGGGAGAATATGAATTGGTTTTTAATTAGACAGATGAACTCTGAAACTTATTCTAGTGAATTTTTTGCAGAACAGTATCTGTTTCTGGCCAAATAAATGAATCTTTTTCAGAACTATTGTCCGTAATCTAAATTCTTACAAAATGAGCCATGTTTTATAAACCAATCAAACAATGGCACCTTTCAAGTCTATTCAATGAGAATAAAAGCCGGATATGGCTCTTTCATTACTTCAAACTTGCAATCATCCTCACCAAGAACAACTAGCCAGCTATGAGACTTTTCTGAATCTAGGGAAAAATGTAGTGTTTGTATTAATAAAGCAAGAGAAAATGTAAATAAATTTATCAGAAGGAGGTTGTTAAAATGCTTGATTACTGAAATTTAAGCAATGGCAGTATATTTTCCATCTGTTAAGCCTTTCTTTTTCTGCAACAAGTATTTCCAGTAGCAGCTCTTAGAAGGTGAAATTGCATTACTAAACCTCTATTTCAGTTTTGATTTTATGTGTATTCTTTTCTGTCTCATAGGCAGTGGGTACTCTATTTTTGTGCTTAAATGAATTTCCCTTGAGTTTATTTATCCATTAAGGCATGTAACTCTTTAAGACCAGCGTAGGTGACACTTAAGAACTCCCTCTTCCCTCCAGAAACGTTATGCAATGTTAAGCTCTTTTATCTCATTTGTATTCATTCCAGGCCTTAATACATTTAGTACTATATAGTAAGAAAGAGGTATGGCAGCAGCTTTCAGAAGTTTAGCTGTCTAGTTAGTAGTTAGTAGCATACATTAATTAGAGCCTTCAGGATGCTGCATGTCTTTGCCCCTTATGAACCGATAATTCTTTGGAGGTATTCTGTTTATCTGTTGGCTTGCTCTTTAAAATATTTGAACTCTATAGAGGCTTAGTCACCTGTAGCTTGATCTCCTGAGTGCCATCTGTATATTTATTCTCATAAATTTGCTTATTTGTTATGATTTCTTTTTCTAAGTTTGCCTGTTAGAGAATTAGGCCACTCGGCTATCATAGCAGCTTTCTTGCCTTAATAGTTTTCTCCTTGCAGTCTGCTAACTGAAATCTACTTGCTCTGCATCATCTCTGGAACCTGTCACAAGTTTATGCCTTCATTATGAGTCCAGCACAGAGTTGTGGGCAGCATCATTGCATCTTCACAGAATCATAAAATAGTTTGGGTTGGAAGGGACCTTCAGATGTCATCTAGACCAGCCCCTGCCCCCCCACAATGAGCAGGGACATCTTCAACTAGACCAGGTAGCCCAAAACCACATCTAGCCTGACTTTGAGTGTGTTCAGGGATGGCCCATCCACCACCTCTCAGGGCATCCTGTGCCAGTGTTTCACCACCTTCATTGCAAAAAATTTCTTCTTCCCATCCACCCTGAATCTCCCTTCTTTTAGTTTAAAACCATCATCCCTCAACCTATGACAACAGGCCCTGCTAAAAAGTCTCTCCTCATCTTTCTTATTGGCCCCTTTCACGTTAGCGTAAGAACTGACACATAACCACCAGAATGGTTATATGAGGTGCTTTATTGAGGCGCTGGGAACCAGGGGTACGCACCCAAATCTGGTTCCGATTCCCGTCACATCACGTTCGCAATTTATACACTAAAAATTTCGTAACTAATACATATTCAACACAGATTACATCATTGACTAATCCATATGCATCAAAGATTGCTACATCAATCTATTACAACATGAGCCTCTTCTGCGCTTGCGCCACCCCCTCTGGTGGTCGCCCTGATGAAGTAAGGAGTCTTCCTCAGATGAAGTAAGAAGTCTTCCTCAGGTTGTCCTTTTCACCTTTCCTCTACTTGGCCAGGTCCCAGTCGTCTTCTGGACGTTAGCATTCTCTTATCTTCACCAGGATGCTTCTGGTATGCTGTTTTTGGCTATCTTAAACTTAGGTTCTGCTTGGGTAGAGTTTTACAATACATACACCTATACTCCCCTCACCATATGCAGTTATGTTAGCTCTTGCTACCAAGACTACCATTGTATCATGTAGTTACAGAGTAACTATGATACAAAACGGCAAAGTTACAACGTCTTCTAATATACAAAGCCTCACTATTGATTTATAAATTTCTAAAATATAATCATTTTACTATTTTATATGATTATTTTATTGTAAAAACTTCACCCTCTCTAACATTTCCCCCCTTTGAAAATACTTCATTTAACTTAAGCAAGTATTTTCATTCTCTTAGGTAGCTGTCTCCTGATAGGTAGGTGAAGGTGTGGGGTACTTTGGATGTTCCCTAGTTACTGCTCCTATGATTCAATGAGTCCAGGCGCTGTTGCGAGTTATTTCCCTTTGGATACAAAAATACATAAGATATGTTATCAAAACCACAAGTAATATTATAATTGCGGTTTGTATGAGGGAACAAATCCATCCAGTAAGGTGAAGGCCCAGACTGCTAAATATTGTCCCTAGCCAATCTTGTTCAGCATTTTCTTTTTCTATTTCTCGTTCAATGTTGGTTAGTTGGGAAATGTCGTGTTCTATATCTGCAGTCACATTAGGAATGTGAATACAGCAATGATCCACTCTGTCCTTTTAATATCCACAGCCACCATGTTCCTTAAGTAACATGTCTAATGCCATTCTGTTCTGCAAAGTCATTTTAGTTGTTGCCTGTAATTGCAAATTTAAATCTTTGAATCTTTTCTTTGTTATTCTGGCTAATCTTTTTGTTTGGCCAATCAGGCTGTCAATCATCTCTCTATTTCGATATGCTGCTACTTGGGCAAATAGGGATTCAAAAGCCCATCCTATTTTAACTCCTGTGGAGGGCTCCTGCCAAGTGTCTTCATCATCACTGTTGTTATCACCTATATCTCTTTTTGTTCGAATCTGCAGGGCTTCCAATCTGCCTTTGAATGGTGACTTCTTCCAAACTGGACAAAGAGTTGGTAATCCCAAGGTGATTTCTTTAGCTGGACCATCCACAGATAAGTGGGTAGTCCAAGTTCCATCACTTGCTGCCCCAACAAAATGTCCTATACTACGCACCATAGAATATTTACAGTCTACATTGTCAATTGGGACCTGTATCACTTTTCCTTCAATTCTCAGTCCTCGACATGCACATACTGCCATTAAAGCAATTTTAACTGGAGGTATTGTGATTTCTTCGGGGTCAGAGTCGCAATCTAAAATTTTGGTACAATTCCACCAAGGAACATTTTTGATAACATCTCGACTAACTCTGTTTATGGACAGCAAATTATTGATGTTTATGTTTTCTGTCACATTTTGCTTTCCTGTCCATCTAAGGCACCAAAATGTGTTTCCAATATATTGAAATTTCTGCAAAATGCTCATTGACCAAGCCGTGTCCCAGTTTTGTTTTAAACCATTTGCTTTTTCACATTCCCATACTTTTTCTTGTTTATCTTCTTCCCTTTATTATAGACACACTTTCCCCACTTGTTTCTTATAGAGGTAAACTGAGCATTTTGGTACATTTCACATACTGATTTTAATATCAAAATTGCAGGATCCCCAAAGACACCTTCTTCCTGATATTCTATCACTGTTATATTTCTCGTTACCTCTTCTTCCTGACAAATGATTGTTCCATTAATTTCTGAAAGTGAAAACGGTATTACTCCCCATTCAATCGGTTCTCCAGCTACTTTGGGTATCGGCAAACATGCTGTTATTCTACTTGTGTTTTTCAGTTTTGCGAAATCCTTAATCAGACCTATCATTAGGTTTTCTTCAGGATTTCAGCGATATGATTGGATTATCTGTGTGGGATTCACTGATCTTTTAGTTCTTTTTCCCATAACTTCGATTTCGCTGTGGCTAACTGCAGATTCAGTCCTATAGAACCGTTTACCTCACTATTGATTTATAAATTTCTCAAATATAATCATTTTATTATTTTATATGATTATTTTATTGTAAAAACTTCACCCTCTCTAACATTCACATATGGAAAAGCTGCAATAAGGTCTCCCTGGAGCCTTCTCTTCTCCAGGCTGAACGATCCCAACTCTCAACATTTTCTCATAGGAGAGGTACTCCATCCCTGTGATCATTTTTGTGGCCCTTCTCTGGACCCTCTCCAGCAGGTCTGTGTCTTTCTTGTACTGAGGACAGACATAGACTTATGCAGTACTGGGAGTCTCACAGGAGCAGATTAGAGGGGCAGAATCACCTCTCTTGTCCTGCTGGTCACGTTCCTTTGGATGCAGCTCAAGATACGATTGGCCTTTGGCCTGCTAGTAGGCATTGCCAGCTCAAGTCCAATCTTTCATCCACTATATTAGCTAATACATATTCATGAATGATAAAAGATGAGCATTTATAAATATGTTACTAGATTTTAATTAGCAGCATACATGTGGAAACTGCAGAGGTCTCATTTAATACTGAAAATTACTAATTTATTTTTTTAAATTGACCAGCAACAGTCAGATAAAGATGCCCAGATTTGTGAGTCATTTAGCATGTATACTTAGTTGTGATATATTTACCTGATCTTTGTCGACTTTCCTTTTCCACCTCATACTAACTTGTTACCATTAATGTTCATTCTAACACACTGCTTACTTTTCCTTAAGACTTTTCATAATTTTTGTCAATTCTGTGCCTTCACATTTTCCTGATATAATTTACAAAATGAGATTAATTTATTTTGCTCACTTAATGACTCCTTTTGAGAGAGCTTAGCTTCCTACTTGTAAGATATTGGGCTGTTGTTTAAGAAAAGAAAGTGTAAGTTGGACTCCAAACTGTGTGTATTGCTTCTATCACTTATTAGACATGTGTTTGTAGTAAAATTCTTCACATGAAATGTGTTCAAAATTCTCAAGTTACCTCGCACTCTAAGCATTAAGTTATGATGGAAACATGACTTGGGAGTGCTTTTCAGGGGTTAGCCTTTCAAGGTGTTGCAGAAACTCTCTTGAGTCTAGAAGAACTACTAGAAGCTATATATGTACAATATATATACTATATATATAAAATATATACAATATTTCAGTAGTTAGAAAATCACTTATTTATTTAGGAACTAATATCACCAATGTCATAAGCCAACAGCTTACTAATACTGTATTCATATCATGTTCCTGATATTTTGGCAACTGAAAAAGGTTCCTGTCCTTAGACAGAAAGTATACTTTCGTATGAAAACACCTGTACACCAAGCCATGAGTTAACACAAGGGTATGTTTTGGTTTTGGTGAAGAAATTCCATGTTGGTTGCAGCCTAAGAATGACATGAAATTTTGAATTGTCTACCATAGCTAGACTCACTTGTGATAAGGTGTGCTAGGAATGAATGAAGATACCAGTTACAGCAGGAAGCATGCCCTGGCTTCTGTAAGTAGCATGGATACCCTTAAGGATCTAGTTGCTTTGCATATGTCCCAGCTGTGGTGCAGGAAAGTTAAAAGTCGAATATGAGCACCATTGCTTTGTGACCTTCAGATGTGATTTAGTATTCTGGAACACTAGATACAGCACAGAGTGGTTTAGGCTCAAATCATGGTGCAGAGATGTGGACAAGCAGGTGATGCTGTGCAGTCTGTTAATACATTTCTGTCATCCTTCTGAGTGGAGGACAGGGAGACTATTTAATTTAGATTGACACTCTTATCTGTACTGTCATCTATTAAAGTCAGCTTTGAGCTAGTCAACCTGCCACTTTCTCCATCAGACTGTCTGTGTTTCCTTGCTGGGAGAATCAGTGCCAGGTGTCAAAATCAAGACAAAGCATATAGGCTGCATGGACCATTGAGGAAGCAGTATGCACACGCATATTTCTCACCAATTAATATAATAGTGCAAATTTGCAGAGTGGGGTATTCACAATTCACTTAAACAGACTCTCAATTGTGTATTGGAATGTAGCTGATCTAGCGCTTAAGCATTTTTTTTTAAAAGATAAAATGCTAGCAACCATGTTCATTGGTCCAGAAACACAGATTTTGTTCACCTGACATATTCTCTAGGTTTTTCTTCTTATTTTAAACCTGATATAGTTGAAGCTTATTGAAAAATACCAGCCCAGATTATTTGATGACACTGTGGATGGTTTTTTTCTCCTCCGTACTCCAGGACTCATCACTGCTTCTCCAGTCTACTCACAACGTGACTGTTAATGCTCGCAATTCAAATGGGGAAGTCACAGGCAGATTAAATGTCGGTAAGTCTTAAGTGATTTTTCCTTGTTTGCTGTTTAGGAAACCCCCGGGGGGACTAGGCCGCGACGAGTAGGAGGGCAAACTGGACTTCAAAATGTTCATTTAACTCTTCACTTTGACCCTTCCAATAACTATATTTATTGCTTCTTCTTAAAACTGAGATACAGTTTAACCTAGATTTCATAGGAATTCTTTCAATTTTTCCAAAGATGCAAAGAAAAAAATTCTTAGCTTTTCGTAAGGAAAAGCCAAATACTTAGTGCTGACCAGTCAAGAAGTTGCCTAGCTGTGCAGAGGGGCTGTATATATGAGTAAACCAGTAGGAAGGAGCAGAGCGTACACTGGAAGACCTGCATCTCAAATCTTTTAAATGTGTTCAGAGTACAAAGGCAGTTCAAATACAACACTGAAGTAGGAAAGTTTTGACAGCACTCTGGCTTGCTTTGCAATACTTAGGTAAGAGGGTAAAAAAATGATTTGAGCTTGGGAAAATCAAAACTGCATCAAAAGAAAGTGCTAATGTGCATTTGCATATTATTTTAAATGTTTGATGTTTAAGTAATCTCTCTTTGACTGGCAATTCTATTTACTGAATTCATTAATAATTGGACTTATTTGCTGTCTGGTGTAGTTGGTACCTTTGTAAATACTAACATGAAATACTACTAATATGAAATCATACTAATTTTAGACTGATGGAAAAATGTTGAAAAAAACAATAAAAACTTAATACTGTAAAGAACTCTGTTAATATCTAAAGATATGGCCAAACAATGGCGGCTGGGGTAGGTGGCAGTATGTTGAAGTAAACGACCATCTATATATAGCTTGATATTTTTAGCCATTGTCCTTAGGCAGTCATAGAATGCATGCATGTAAGATGATGTTTCCTTATAAGAAGTGTGAAAAATAGGGGTGTGGCTGATTAAATCTGTATGCACAAGCCTTTTCTAAAGAATTAATGCCTTCCACAGTTGTCAGCATGCTGGTATTATGTCTTAATACTCTATTCATCTTACAAATAGGAACAATCGCCATTGTGAAGGAACTGTATAGATCAATTTTGGATTGTTCCAAAGATGACAATATAATATAGTATTACTCATAAGATCATAACAGAAATACCTTTTAACTCAAAGAAGATTGTGATTCAAATTATCTGTTAAAATATTTTAATAAGTTACTAAGAGTGATTTAAATACCCAGTCTTCCATAGAAGCAATTCACGAGAGAGATGTGAAATAAATCTTTACTTGAGGAGTTCTATGTCATTCCTCACATGAAGATAACAGACACGTATTAGGAAAGAATGAAAAATGTTTTCCTCATGAATCACAGATGTACGCAAATGACATTAAATGCAAGCAACTTCCACCATGAGCACTCTAGTTTTAAAGTTTCTACATGCTCCTTGGTTTACCTGCGTGACGTACCCCTTGAACGAGTTATCTGGACTTTGTAGCTCTTAAAAAAACATGCTGCAGATCTGGTATTTTGGACTGTGTTCCATAATTACACTGCTTTCAGAAGCCTCACTCAATGCAAATGCATTTAACTAACTGCTTGTCAGGAAAAGACTAAATTGAAAAAAAAAAAACAGTTCTGTGCTTTACTCATTTTTGACTTCAGTATCCTTCTAGTTGACAGAGATACCCATTTTGTTTGAGCTACTCTTTTAAATCATTTAAAACTCATATATGACCAGAGAAACTAATATTAAAACCAAGTAAATAATTTCTATTTAAAAATTAATAATTTAAAAAAAAAAAAGGAAATGGGACTTTTAGTTGAGGGTTTACAGAGATGTGATTGCTTTGGGACTTTGGAAACATTTCTGAGAGAAATGGGACTTAAAAAGGATGTTGACCAACAGATGGCAAGGAGGGAACTGAAGGAAAGCACAGATGTGGAAAGGTGTGGAAGAGCCAGATGGAGTTAAGAAAACCATAGGAAGAGATGCTTATAAGCAAGGCAAGGATGTCTACAGAACAGATGGTAACTATTTTCATTAGAATAGCTCCTGTGTTTAAAATCATGAATAAGATTCAGATGTTATTATCACAGCTTGTTCATCAACCTTCAGAACTGAGTATCTAGAACTTTCCTCAGTAATCCAAGAAAGCAGTGGAATAAAGCTGCCAACCATCATCTCAAAGATTCCTGTACTTACCACTTCAAAGTCTTATTCAGTCCTAGAACAAAAAAGGAATATAGCACTGTGGGCCGTAATAGAATCATAGAATGGTTAGGGTTGGAAAGGACCTTAAGATAGTCTAGTTCCAACTCCCCTGCCATGGGCAGGGATGCCAGACACTAGATCATGTGGCCCAAGGTTCTCTCTGACCTGGCAATAATAAAACAACCTAGTCTAAAAGATTATCAAACTTTGTCAACGGTGAATGATAATGAATACGAACTATATATATAAGAAACATACAGAATACATACATAGTCAATTATCAAATACTTAAGAGCAACATTGGTATCAAACATTAAATGATGGTTCACCTAAGCAAACATATGCTTACCTGTATAGCCTACCAGCGGGTGAATGTAATGCAGTCAGATTTTGCAGTGGTGTTCCAGGGTTGAATATTAAGAAAGTAGCTAAAAAGCAGCATGCTTCCAACTATCTTTACTGAAAAGTAGGGTCAGCTTTTGAAAAGATCTGTTCTTCAGACTCATGTCTAGAGATTTTGTGTCCATCACATTAATCTGAGCAGCTGTTAAAATGAGAGCATTTGTGCTAACCCACCCCTTTTTTTCGAAGAGAACATTCTAATGAAACTAAGTGCCAGTATCTGATATATTGCTTCATTAGCATTAATTTCCATCTATAAACTACTACTTTCCAACATCAAATAATTTCTGGCTTTCTTATCATATATTTCTTATGATACTTCATTTTCAAGTGATGGTATTTTTTCATCAGAGACATAATAGAAAGAAAACAGTGTTAAGGAAGCATGATGTATGCAGGAAGAGTTTGATGATGTTTTCACAGGGAAAACCCTGAAGCCAGTTTCATAAACTTGACTTAATTAATGACATTGTAAAATCATTTAGCTTTTTTCTTTTCTATTTTTCCCAGAAGTATTTCATTAAAAACTCCATTTTTGTCCAAATAAGTTCTTTCTTATCATTAAGATGAAAGGCAGGACATATTTCTTGAAGATCTTTGTACTGCAGGAAGATGATTATTTGCACAACTTTTATTGCTCTCCAGCTGGGTTATAAGAAGGAAAGATACAATATAGGAGCAATTAATAGAAATACAAATTGGAAACTTCATTGAAGTATTTTTGGAGGTGATTAAGTCTTTCTGTGATCATGAACTTACAATATTTGTTCCAAGGAGATTAAAGTAAGTATTTTTACTTTCAGAAGTATAAAAATTTTAGCTATCAGTGAATCTGATTATATCAACACACACATGCCAGTTTTATTTAAGAGTAAAATTTAGTTGTTGACTCAGATCAGGCAAAATTTAGAGAATGACAGGTGGCTTCTAAAATATCCTACAGACTTTTTATCTGATACTCTTTTCTAATTCCCTCTTTTACTCTGTGGAAAACATGTTTCTGTTCTACATTAAATGCATATGCTATTAGTCTTTGTAAGACCATTGTGTATTTAAATTAGTATAATGTTGAAAATAATTAAATAGCAGAAAAAAGTAGCAATGAATATACACTTAAATTAAAGCTAGATAAGAATATATCCATGAAAACTTACTTACAAAAAAGAACCAGTCATTACAGTTGCAGTTTAATATTTAGACTCCATTGAAAAGCATCTTTGCAAAAAAAAAAAACAACAAACCAGTCATTAAAGTCTATGTACCCTTTATAACAAGGTGCTTACCATAGCAAGATTTACAGACCCTGTCCCCAAATATGATAATCTGTATGAGGAAATACATGATAATGTTCAGGGTCAGCAATGCAGACTTAAGCCACACTTTAAGCATCCTCTAGATAACTAACATAACTAAATAAAATCAGGTAGTTATGTGTATTGCCAACTTGTGATATTTGTATATGCCAGCATCACAGTTAAGGGGAAATTTATCTTGGCCAAGGGGATTTGAATTCTATGCTGTCACTTCTCTGATTGTGTCTAGAAGAAAAGTAGTGTACATATAAGTCTGTAGAGCTTAGCTCTGAAAAAAGGGTAATGTTTGGTAAATAATTTTTTATTTGGAAAAAGAAGCAGATAGTGCTTACCCCTCTCTCATCAGAGAGCAATTACTCATCTGAGTAGCTCCAGTCTTTATTTCAATGGGAGGAAGGAATTCAAAATAAGTAGAAAAAAAGGAATTTTTCAATATTTTATAACCTTCTCAATTTTTACAGTCTTCAGTAAATTTGCAATCCCAAACATATTTTGGCTTGTATGGTGTGGTAGTCATTAACATAAGTCACTGAATGATAGTTTGAAGATAATAGCTATTGCTGAGGGTGAGTATAGTTCCTGTGTTTTCATCCTTTAAAGTAATAAGAAGATTGAATTATTGTCATTGGTAGATGCTAGTTGAATTTGTAAAGGTCATCTTAAAATAGCTGAAATTCATTGTGACTATAATCTGTTGTAGAATTTGAGTCATTAAGTACATCTAAAAGACTATTCATTTTAAGTGTAACAATGCTTCCTTCTTAAAATGAAGGACTCTCAGTGGCAGTTAGTGGCCAAAAAACGAGCTAGATCCCTGTATTTTGCAGCAGATCTGCCGAAGACACACAAACGCACACCCACCCTGGAGTACTACTTGAACATATCTGCAGTGTACCCTTGTGGCAGTGAGGTCTAATAGCATACTGGGCTGTATCATTCCACCCTTACATTTGGAATGCTGTGTTAAGCCCCTTCCAGTATGACAGAGCTATGAGCAAACTAAGCAGTGTCACATAGGATGCCATTAAGATGATCAGGGAGTGGAAGTAGCGTTTGTTTAACCTGCAGAAAAGAAGGCTAAAGGGGGCTTCTAACTTCTGCCTGCTACTAGGAGGGCAAGAGGCAAAATGACAGACTTTTCTCAAGAGGTGCACAGCAAAAGGGCAAGAAGCAGCAGTCATAGGCTGCATTAAAGCAAAATGCAACTGGATAGAAGGGGAGGAAATATTGCTGTTAGAAAGGTTAACCATGGGAACAGGTTGCCCAGGGAGGCTACTGAATCCCCTTCCTCAGAGGTATTAAAATTCCACTTCAACAAGACCATGAGCACCTTCATCTGAGTTCCAACCAGGCTGACCCTACTATGAGCAGGCAGTAGAACTAGGCGACTTCCAGAGGTGATCTCTGGTTAGCATTCTTCTGTGATTCTGTCTTGCCCTGTCTTCAGCTGACACTCTGGAAGGACCCAGGTTGCTTACAGACCCCGTGTCAGACTTTCTAGTCCAATGCAGAAGTCTTAGATATTCTAGGGCATCTAAAATAAGCTGAAAGCCAAGCAGAGAACACCAAAGTATGGCACTGGACAGCTATGTTGGCAACTGAGTCATGCCCCATCTGTTTAATTGGTCCTCTTACGTTGTCCTCTGCTCAGATCAATAAGCAAGAATAGAATACTCCTGAAACACAGTGCTGGAGTTGACCTTATGAAAATAACACCCATGGATTTCTTTATAGTAATAATAATTGGAGGAAAAAGAATTACCCATTATGCAGAAGATAGAGTGGTTAAAGTATTCACTCAGGAATGAGTGACTCAGATCAGCTGTTGTCTCTTTATAGAAGGTTTCAAATTATCATGCCTCATTCTCCTTTGGTACTTGCCTTTCCATTTTACATATGTGAGGACTGTATTTTTCACTTTTTCCTGATGAAGTTATTCATCATGCAACACATTCTGGACTCATTAGGCCTGAGAGAGAATGTGACACCATAGCCTTTTTGTCACGTCACTGTGTGAGAAACATGATCTCCTATTCCTGCTATGGTTTCATCAATAATCCATTTTACAATGAAATGTTTCACAGGTTTGGGGTTTTTTTATTTATATTGAGTATTTTATGAAGACAGTGCCTAGATGGATAAAGACATTTAGTTAGTAAATCATACTGAGAGGGGAAAGTACTGGTTGCCAGCGTTTGCATAATCAGTGTCTGCAGTGATCCTTCAGAACTGATTTTTTTGAGATCTCTAGACTTGTGTTTAATCATAGAGAACAACAAAGTATAAGAAGTGCTGACAGTAAGGCATCCTTACTTTGATCTCAGAGGGCATAATTGTATCCATTGCATAAAAGGAGAACTGAGAGAAAAAGAGGAAACAGGAACAGCAAGTGTTCTATTAAAGTATTAGAGATGTTTTTCAAGGTGATGAGAGATGTATGATTTGGACATAAAATGTATATACACAATGTGCTGCATGTTCTCTGTAATAACACATTAATTCTAACAAAAGACCAGCAAGTACTTCCACACCATTCCATATGAAAATCTGACTAATTCTATGTTTCTGAAAGCAATGGCTTTACATCTTTAGGTACTATATTACTCATGGAACTAGAACTGAATCTGTAGGAGTATTACATTTTTAATACACTTTTATTGAGATCTTATTTTAAGTAAGATGCTTTAATAAAAATTAACTAAAAAATAAAATTGCATAGCAATACCCCAAAGCACTCAGGTTTTTGGCTTATATTCAACACTTCAATGATTCTAGGTGGTAGGAGAAAAGTGAAGCATACAGAGTAGGTGATAGCCATAGGTTATCAGAAATCATGGATAGCAGAACAGAGTAAGAAAAGAAAAAATCTTTTAGCAGGGCCTGTTGTGATAGATGAGATCTGATGGTTTCAAACCAAAAGAGGGGAGACTCAGGTTGGACATGAGGAAAAAATTCTTTACAAAGAGGGTGGTGAAACGCTAGCACAGGTTGCACAGAGAGGTGGTGGATGCACCATCCCTGGAGACATTCAAGACCAGAGTGGATGTGGTTTTGGGGAACCTCATCTGGTTGAGGCTGTCCCTGCTCACTGCAGGGGTGTTGAACTAGATGACCTCTGAAGGTCCCTTCGAACCCAAACTGTTGTATGATTCTATGATGATCTTACAACTATTTTCTTTCTTTATGTCACATCTCTCTGAATTAATCTACATTCCATAACAATAGAATTAATAAATAACTGCCAATTTTCTGGCAGTATGCAGATACATATATTAGATCAATCAATTCCTGCTGTTTGAGAAAGGTTTTTCCTGTTCTTACTATGAGAAATGTGAAAAACCCTTTTTTAACAAGATATCCTGTGAAATGGATTCAGCAAATCAAGAAGATAAATGTTCTCCTAGAAGGGATCTGGTGCAAGTCAGGTCACACTCTGGTTCTTTCAAATCCTTTTTTTTTTTTTTTCCCAATGTGTTATTAAGTTATTAAAACTTCTGTGTCTACCAAGGTATTGAGAAGGAAAGAGCAGAAGTGCTACTATTGAGACCTGGCAGTTCATTTTCAAAGATGACTGCCTTTGTACCAAGGAAATCAGTAGATAACATTTCCTCTAAATGTACAGTATCTTCGTCACATGAAAGTATTTTTCTGTAATTGTGTGTAAATAATTAACAATTATATATAAATTAACAGTATGTATTTGTGAGTCTTCTAGATACATTGCTGCATGTTGTTCACAAGTTTGCACAATAATTCAGATACACTTAAAGCACTTTCTAATTATTATTTGAAACATTACTCACACTATAAAACCTCACAGCTTAGAACTGAATCTGTGGAAGGCAACCATGGATAGAGATCTAACCTTGCCTCACTTACCCAGAACTGCTTCTTTTGCTGTAAAAAAAATACGACTGTTCAGCACCTTTTCACTTTTTGCAATACACTTCTCAGAAATAAAGTCATGCTTTGGAGGAGCTTTAGAGAATAGCTGAATTGAGATGAGTAAAGCTGTGTTAGGGTGCACATGTCCAGCAGCGTATAATTTACGTGAAAGTTCAGCTTCCTGTCCTAACCATCTTTAAATAGAATCTGTATCAGGTTTTATGCGTTAAAATTGTTGCCTTAGTTTAGGATATTATGGTTTATATAACCCCTTCTGTACTTGGTGGGCAGTTAAAAGCAATCCTTTGTGTCTGCCAAGCGAATCACTAAGCAAATTCTATAGAACTTTATGGTATGCATCTCTCGCATCAGCTACCACACAGATTTTAGAATACATTTCTTAGCGTATCAATCATCCACCAGCTAATGTCATTTTAACTGGAAGGAAAAAAAAATAATCCTAATGATGTTTCTTTTGAGAATTACTGCCTGGAATATACTTAACATTTACGGGAGCAGGCTTGGTACGGCAGGTTCCTGCTGGAAAGGAAGAAGCTCAGCACCTCTCACTCCCACGAATAGTCTCTGAAATGCATTTATTAAAAATTCATTAAAAACATTTATTAAAAAAGGTGCCTTAGCTGCTTTGACCATTCTCTGTAGTTCTAATTCTGACCACAGATTTAGATGATGACTATCAAATCAACACTCAAATTTACGTGGTGTGAATTTTTAATTGATCAGGTTGTGGAAAGGGTAATACTAAGGGTTTGATTTATATCCGCTTACCACGTCAATACTGTAGAACAGGATGTTTTGCTGAATCTAGGATTCGGTAATACATAAAGGCTGTCTTGCAGATGATTATTTTACTTTTTGGAGTACGAGGTCAAACTGCAAATATTCTTGTAGCTTTTTTAAACTTTTCTAAGAACATGATCAGTAACAGTTGTTAGATGTGTGGCACCAAACTGACATTTGCTATGAAGAGCTGAGGGTCCTGCTCTTACATGGGATGCTTGTAATTTTAAAGCATTTAAGCCTCCCTGATCATAAAGGATGATGCTGCAAGGACTTTGATAATTAGATTTTATTTAAAAAAAAAAAGAGATGATAGACTCACACTGATCAGAGAATCTCAGCAGTTACAACAACAAGATCAGGAATGTTTGTCTTGATCAGTTCATCAGGGATTTCCTAAATTCCCTGGAAACCCAGTTTGAAAGCATGACTCCAGGCACAGTTTTGTGACTTTGTAAATAGACTTACCCAATTTCAGTACTTACAGGGCCACTATCCTTAGAATATTCAGGTTCTTCATGATCCTCAACATACTTAAATGTGTCATTAAATTATTAAGACCACAGTTCAAATTATTAGCAATTTATATAGAAAGCTGAAGAAAACTGATGTAATTAATCCATTATTCTACTGTGCTTTGCAGGTCCTAAAATGGTAGAATTCCACGGTCAGCAATTTCAGATCAACTCAAAGGACGGCAAACCACTTTTTACAGTGGATGAAAATGAGGTTGTAATTGGTACAGATAAACTTCGAGTCACAGGTTTGTAACAGTTTGAGAAACGCCCAAATAATAGCCACAAGAAAAACACAATGAAAAATGCCATTTTTAAATACATCATTTTGTGGATGCAGGTTCTGGTTTTACCTCATTAGGGAATAGAAATCTGAAGATATTCTAACCTCTGTCAGCAAGTAATCAGTAAGAACTTTTAAAAGCAAAATTATAATATATCACAGTAAAATAATAATTGTGTATATATGTATATTTTATTTTAGTGATTGGTGCTTTTTTTTTTTTCTGAATTATTAAATGTTTCCAATCACACTGTTAAATGAGGCTGAAAAAATTCTAGATAATACAAATTGAGTCGTACTGGGTTTTATTTGTGAAAACATTTTTAGATTCTCTCTGATATTTTTATATGATTTTATCTTTCAAAGTGAAAGCCACTGTATTTCTGCTTTGTGTGTAGACATGTGACAGAATGGTATTTGTAATATATTTTAAATGCCATTTTTCAAAGACAAGTTTGTCTTAGGCTATTTCTTCAAAGCACCAAAATACTCAGTTACAAAATAAGATGTCAGTTATCACATGAAAAGCTATTTCCTTTCATATGACCTGATAAAGTCAACATTCATTTTCCAGGTATAAAGTTGCATTAATGCAGATATATCAAGGTGTGATTTCTCCTTAAGCAGAAGAATCCATCAAAGGGAATAACAAGAAATATTCTGTAGCTTGTTTTGAATTACATTTTTAATATTTTTAGCCTGGGTGCAACTATCATGATTAATTTTTGCTAATTATTGGTCCCCTGAAATCTTGAGGTCTTAATTTGAATTGATATATTCATATTATTTCACTGTGCAAAACTACAAATGTAGTAACTATACAATTAGTGTTTCAAAGCCAAAGTTAAGTTATAATAAATGTGTTAATAAATTCTGTTTACGCCTGAGGGTCTTATCTTAAGTTTTTTACTATTTAACCTAATTGAAATTACAAGTGTGTTTAACCAAGAAACCATATCAAATAATTATTGTTTGCCCAAGGGATGCTAAACTTTAATAGAAAAGCATGTTTAACAAAGATATGAAAAAACAGCATAATTGTTAACTGATTTGGAAAAGTCTATCTCTGCTCAAAGTAAGTAAAAATAATTCATACACAAGTTTAAATTGTTATGCTAAAACGTGTATTCTGACTTGTCCAATATTAGTCTTTACACTGCAAGGATAATTGTTTACTTTAGCAGATACTGCAGAAAGATGCATTGCCTGTTTCTTTTTTACTCTGTAGTACAAGTTAAAAGCAAACCCATTAAAATCAGTGAGGCTATTTCAGTGTAAAATTAATAGGAGTGAGAGGAGATTCATACCTAGTTTGCTTCAAATTAATTTATTAAAATTGTGATTTAAATGATACTGTTAGCATGAAGGACAAATTAGTAATACTTTGCATACTGAGATAATTTTTTAAACATTTTAGATAAAGAACAAGATTAATGTGAAATTTTGCAAAGCTCATATCATAAGAAATAGAATACCTCAGGCTTAAAATACGCAAACATCTTGCAATATTTTATATACAATATAGGGAACTATTTGATTTTAGTTTTAGTTTGATTTTGTTTATGTGAATTATGAAAAGCTCAGTAACAATTTGTAAGAAAACCTGAAAGGCTTCAACTAAAATATAATGTAGCAGAGAGCAAATGCCTGTGATTTAGGATCTTTCAGGAAAAATTAAAAGTCTAAGAATAACTTGATGAAATATAACAAGGGAAAGCATAGAGTCCTGCATGTGGGCAGGAACAACCCCAGGTTCCAGTATAGGTTGGGAAACGACCTGTTAGAGAGCAGTGTAGGGGAGAGGGACCTGGGGGTCCTAGTGGACGACAGGATGACCATGAGCCGACACTGTGCCCTTGTGGCTAAGAAGGCCAATGGCATCCTGGGGTGTCTTAGAAGGGGGGTGGTTAGTAGGTCGAGAGAGGTCCTCCTTCCCCTCTACTCTGCCCTGGTGAGACCCCATCTGGAATATTGTGTCCAGTTCTGGGCCCCTCAGTTCAAGAAGGACAGGGACCTGCTGGAGAGAGTCCAGCGCAGGGCAACGAAGATGATTAAGGGAGTGGAGCATCTCCCTTATGAGGAAAGACTGAGGGAGCTGGGTCTCTATAGTTTGGAGAAGAGGAGACTGAGGGGTGACCTTATTAGTGTATATAAATATATAAAGGGGGAGTGTCACGAGGATGGAGCAGGGGGATTGAACTAGATGATCTTTCGAGGTCCCTTCCAATCTCTAGCATACTGTGATACTGTGATACTGTAATAAGGTAGTACAATCCAACACCTCAGGAATTGTCATTTTCCAACAATTTGGTATGTTTGACCTCGTGCTATTTTGCTTAGATGTTTTCTGGCCCATATGATAGACTGAAACAGCAGCAGACCCTCTCTGTGCTCTCCTAAGAAGGGCAAACACCTGGGGAAAGCCATGAGCAGCAAGGTGTCTCAGGTACCTGACAGGGTCACGGGTCTTGATGCTTGAGTTTAGACAACTGAATTGAACCTGCAGTCAACACAGTCAATGCAGTCTACAGCGTGAAGGAGGCACCTAGACCTGGCATGGGGAGAGCTACTCTGCTGGTCAAATACAGTTGTCTACTTTAGGATGAGCTCAACGGCTCACTCATCTCCCTTGAATATAGTGGCTGAGTTCATATGCTAAAACTTGATCATCCATCAGTATTTGAAACACCTTTTGATAATGGTTTATCTACAAAAGACACTTCATTTGATCATGGCAGCTGGAGGCCAAGCATGATGAACAAGGGTATTTTAGATTACAGTACGTATATATGATTAGGTAATTCTGCCTCTATGTCATCTGTGACACCTACATCATAGACATCATAAACACTTAAATTTTTAAGTGTATGAAAGTGAATCTCAGCTCAACCCTACATGACAACTAATGCTACCCGGAGATGTACTCCAATTACAACCTTTTCAATATTCAGTAATGACCTGCATCTTTTGCAGGCATTTATTACTCTGCGACAGAAGTATTGAACATCAACATTTTGTTCTTGTAGGGTTTTATACATTCAGTTGGCATTGGTGACAGTAAAACCTACCTTGTAACAGTGTATTAGCTAGCAAATAAATTACTGGTTTATAACTAATAATATTGTCATGGCAGTAGGAACAAAGTCACAGGACTAGCTGGAACCAGAATCTTCCTCCACAAATGGCTAGAGTCCATGGCCATAGGAGTCCAATTCTTCACTCCCTTGCCTGCCCTTGAAACTTACCTCCTGGAAGGCTGTCCATAGAAGGGAGAAAATAGGCTCAAGCAGATAAAATTCTATGCAATAAAATCCATTCAGCAGATATAAAATGGTCTCAAGTACTGCACAAAAAAATTTTTAACAGGTACAAATTATAATTTATGTATCATGACTGTTGTATTGGCTAATATTTTGGTGGTGAGAAGGTAAGAAATTAATAGAATGTATTTGCTTAGCCTCCACTTTTCTTGAAGAAGAGGTGTCAGGGCAGAGAGGATTGGTATCTTTTTGGAGAAGTATATTGTATTGCCCTTTCTCCAGTTTACTACTTGTCCTGCTTGTTTGTCTTTCATAATGTCTTAAAGATTTGCTGAGTCAGTGATTTTCCAGTGATCTGTTCTATGGAAGGGTTTACAGTTTGAGTAGTTAATGCTGAAGTGCAGCGTGAAGGTGTATGTTTGATTTAAACCCTTCTGCTCAGAAGGTAAGGTAAGTAGGGGACAATTTGAGGGTATGAATAAACATGCTCTTAGACTTTGAAGAGGCAGATAGTTTGTGCTTCATAGGGTGTGTAGGGGGTATTAATGAACCTTTCTGACTTTAGTCTCTCATTAAGAAAATTAGTATCTTGAGCTTGTGTATTGTAGGATTAAAATCATAAGTAATAGTCTATAAAACAGTAAATGTAGTAATATTCATATCATATTGGACGTTATTTCTTTACAGTTTAAAATATAAAGTAGGTAATGATGATAAGAAATTTATTTAGGGCCATTTAAAAAAAAAAAAATTGCCCTGAGATTATTTTCGGGGTTTTAGTGTCATACTTAATTTTTCTCACAGGAAGGCAAGGTTTTACTCTTAATTAGAGGTGAAAGCTTAAAATATGCAGATAAGCCTTTTCATTCCCTATTACACTACCACCACCACACTTCTCACTAGCGCATTAATGCTGATATTTACCAGTGGCTTTCTTCCATTATGAATATTTAGGTCTGTAACATTTGCAAAGATTTTGCGGAATTTCAATTCTATTAAATGTAATGGAAGCTGCACTTTAAAAATCTTACTACTTATTTTTTTGTCTCAAGTAGTTTAAAATTTCTCTGTCTTCGCACTTCTTGGATTTCATTTTAAAATTTACACATTAATTATTACATTACCCATGTATTGGGTCGTTCCAATCAACGCTGTAATAGTAGTACTGTAGCTATATTTTAATTGTTTTATTAACTGTTAATATATGGTTACTTATCTATATTTTTAATATCAAGTGGCCATATAAATCACTGTTCCTGTTTTCTTTCCATTTGAACTTTTATATATAGTATTTTTCTTTATTTTTTTGCAGGGCCTGAAGGAGCACTTTTTGAACATTCTGTAGAAACACCACTTGTGAAAGCAGAAGCCTTTAAACAGCTTAGGTAAGAATTAATACATAAAAACATTAATAAGTAAACATTGTTTACTATAGATATTCATATTTTTTCTGAACATGGCGTTTTCAACAGCATTTGCAGAACTGTAATTCAAAACAAATACTGTTTTAAATGAAAATTATACATTGCTCTGCAATTTTGAACAATATTATGAATGCTTTATTGTTGGTGGTGAATATTTAAAGCCGCATAATATACTGTGGGAAGTTTTTCAGTAAACTTCTATTTTTCAGCTTTGAAAACCTTAGGTGTGACTTTTTCTATTATGTTGCGATAGAAGTTGCTTGTCTGCAGCAGGTCATTGGCGTATAATTAGTCAAGATTTTTAGGAACTACTGTCAGTCTGAGGAAACACTAGTAAGAACACATTGGAAATGTGCAATGCTCTGTATGAGTGAAGAGAAGTTTGGGGTGAGAAAATCATTATAAACTCCTTTGCATGTTTCAGAGCCCCTTAATTCAGGGATAGCATTTCTTTCTGCATTATTCTGTGTAATTTTGAGTATCCCAAATTAGCTTGTAAGACGTTGGTTATGATGAGGTAATAAACTCAAATTACATTCTGTTCGTGATCATGTTATGTTTGTTTTTAAAAGCCAGTTCAAAGAAAGGTTTGAAATGAAAGAGGATCTCTTTAAGAAGTATACTTCATTCCTTGGTAGTTTGCTACTTTCTGTCATAATTTCTCTTCTTAGGGTTTTTTTTTTCTCCAATAGGGATAACTACTAGAGAGTCATGGAAGATGATTAAAGTTTTCAAAAACTGTCTGTATCTTGGTGACTGAATTTTCAAATTGAGAATGGCAAATGAGAGGGAGACCATTAAGATACTTCTGTTAATTTTTTCCTTGATATTGAAGATTTACTTACAGTAAGATATGTGTGCATTCGAAGATCAAATGAGCTCAAGACATTAGTTTTTACATGTTGATGTCCACTTTCAAAAGTGTGTGTCTTCTACTGTGGTAGAATTCGGATGTGACAAACTTTGATCAATATGTAGGATTATGCATTGTAGTGAACGTTGCCTGATTTTGTAGGGATTGGATTCATTATGTTGTAGATTTGTCATCTGTCATTATCTCAGTTTTTATGAGTTAGGATGTTGGATTTTGTAATTACAAAGACAAGAATGTCTGCAAATTTTCATTGGATACATATCAACTCTTTTCTGTGGTTATTTCTTCACTTCATATGCATCATCAATTAATTTTTTAACAGACTTAAAGCTAATAGTTTTATCTTACATTCATTATATTGTAGTGAATTTTAAGTTCTTATCTGCACTTCATTAAAAAGCAATTACACTGTTTCAGACTATATACAACTATTATTATTATAAATTTTTCACCAGTTTTGAAATAGGACATAATTTGAAGGCAATTCAAATTCATTGAGATTAATTCAAATAACCTGTAAAGTTCTCCTGCATGGATGAGTGGCTTCTCTCCCTTGTGATTTTTACCACAATTATAAACACATGTGTTGAGCTAAAATGTTGCTATGTGTTAGCAGAGCTCGAGTGTAGTTTTTAAAATCTCATTCAGTTCTGTCTTCAGTTAACTTAAAATAGTGGGAAGTTCAGATTCTTCCAGAATTTACAGAAGTTTGCTAAGAATTATAACGTCAAAGAAACACCTACATGGCCACATCAACACTGACACTTGCAACTGACCTTAGTATTTGACGTAAATCCTAAGAGCTGCTAAACACCTGTGCTAGAGGGCAAGTTAGCTTAACCCTAAGAAAAATGATGACTATTAGGACATGAAGCTGTGCAATGTATACACCACTCACTCATGTCCTGGCAGGCCCTTACCCAGTTCAAAGCACCTTGTTCCTTTTATTCTATATATTTATTTATTTTTCCCTGTCATAATCAGCATCGAGTCTGAAAGCAGAGATGGCAGTGATTCTATGGAGGGCTTCTGGGGAGCATCAAGAAGCAAATGCATTTGTCTGCAGTGCAGATGCTAAGTTAAGATGTAGGCAGAAAAGAGCAGTTTATAAAACTCATGCTGGAAAAAGGTTACTTTCAAGGGTAATCTTGTAAACAAAATTCATGCATTTTGTTGTGAAAGAGTTCAAATAAGTTTACCAATGAATGGTTATTTCTTAATGCTTTATAAATATTCTGTTTCATTCCACATTGTTAAATACAAGAAACTACCTACTGAAAAGCTTCAGAATGAAAATTTAAAATGCCATTTTAAGTATTACTTTTCTATTTTAAACTTGAATATGCTCCTTTTCCACATTAGGGTTGTGAGTACCAAGTTATAGGTAATATAACCTATTTGCTCACCTCAAGCCTTATTGTCACACTTTCACTGTCCATTAATCTTCTTCTATTTTTCCTCTATTTTTCCTTCAGTGGTTATGCTGTACCATGTGAATATGATATGCTAGATAAATATGATATGAAGTGCCATGGTATGCAGCATTAAATATAGGGAATACTGCTTCAAGAAAACCCATCCACTTCAACTGTAGTTGCGTGTTTCAAGGAGCTGATTGGAAAGCTGTTAATGCTCATAACTTTTCAGCTAGTGTCACATGAACAGAGGCCATATTCACTCTCTGTCATTCAGATTTAGGGCAGGACTGGAAACAAAGCTGACATAAATGGCCTTCTGAATTAAACATTCTGCTGGCTTTCCTGTCCAAATGCCGAATTTCAAGATAGACTGCTTTTCTGGGAACAAAGAGATAAGTGTGTTAGAACATATCTTTTTATAGCTAAGTAATGGAGACAGAGAAATGCAATTACACTGCGGTCAGTAACTGTCTTTTCATTCCGTAATTTGAAGGAAACATATAGAGGCCTTTTCAGTCTAATAGACTGAATTCATGACTCACCCATAAAGAGATGTGCTTGCACTTACTTCCAACTGGTAGGAAGAATTACAACAACTAAAACAGAAATTTCAAAAATGAAGCTTTCCTACGTTTAAAATAACATTGCCTACTTTTTAATTCCTTTCTTGGATTTCTTATATCTAAATAAGATACCTAGTTTCATTTACAAAATATACGACTGTAGTACCAGCAGAGACCTATACACAGGGTCTCGCACATAATAAAATTCTGACAGACATCCCAATGGCATGCTTATAGTCAACAGGAAGATTTTGATGTATCTGGGAAATAGCCTATGCAGAAAAACAGCACTGAGGAGTTACCTCATTAGAATTAGCCAATTATCATTAATAAGAACAGAAATATGTCTGGACTCCTACTTTTCCCAGCAATTCAGTTGCCTCACATAGTCGAGTGCCTACACATCTTCCAGGTACAGAGTTAGGCCATCAATCAGCATCCCCAGGTCCTTTTCCACCAAACAACTTTTCAGCCACTCTTCACCAAGCCTGTAGTGGTGCATGGGGTTGTTGTGGCTCATATCCACGATCTAGCAATTTTTATTGTTGAACCTCAACAAGCACCTGTTTACTGGGTCACATCTCCTCTCCTGTAGCTGAATCAGATCTTCCGTATGGTCATGGGACTACAGGAGAGCAAGCAAGAGGAAGCACAAGTTACTCTTGTTTAGGGCACCCATCCAAGAGCCAAAGGATGCCAGGGGTTTTCAGTTACAAAAGTAATCCTGGAAGCAGAACCAGATGAATGTCCTGGCCTCTAGCTTGTCTCCTCTTTATTTGTTCTATTTCTTCCTGGATTATTTGGTTGTACAAAGGCTTGCATTCAACACAGGGATTGCCACAATCCAGCTCTTTACGCCTGCCGAACTGTTTCATAGTCTGGTAAATGAAGGTAATGGATACAGGTTTAATTTCCCTCAAGATGACAAGGGAACTGAACTGATGCTTCATAATTCCTGGCTGAATAGCAATATCAGTAGGATTGTGATATATGTAACATAGGTTTATGCATATTATAGTATTGATTATTTTTTATCAGGTCTCCAGGGGCTTCTATAGAATTTAGCTGCCACCTCTAACTGAATCGCAACAACATTTTAATGGAAAATGGGTACCTTGCTTTCCAAATGAAGGAATTTAAATAGAATTATGGAAGCTCATATTCAGATACATATCTTGTAACCCAAAATGTAGGTGGGAAAACTGTAACAGTAACTAATGGAACTAGCAGATGTAGAGAGGGAAGTTTATAGAAATTTCCTAAAAGCCAGCTTCTCCACAGGTTCCATGTTAGTTACTGGAAGTAGCCTCTTGTATTCTTGAGAGCTTCATGCCAGCACACATACCCTTTTATATCCCCAGTTATCAAATAAGAATCTTGATGTGAAAACTAGTGTCTCAGTTTAGACATTTTTCCAATCTGATGCCAACGTAGTTTTCTAATAATTTATAGCACTTTAGAATACTATTTGGCATTTTATGTTATTCCTTCTATATTTTATATCCTTGAAAGTTTTGTCATTTTGATATTGTTCACTTCTTGTGATCTACGTGGCTAAGGCAAAACAATGAATGAGCGAAATTCTTTAAATCTCAAGCAATGTTTCTGAGCTGAGCATTCACACGTTTCCCAAACTTAGGGAAATGTGCTTACAAAAGTGACACCTTTCCATTTATTAACTAACTGTATACTATGCATAATTAATATAATGCTCACAGATGCGTACTAGCTTTGCTGTCATATTTGCTGCATATGGATGTCTGACAGCCAGAAACTGTTTCTTCTGAGCACAAATCCTGTGAGAATTAACTCTTGGTACAGTCAGTTTGTGGTATTTTGCCAATTCTTCAACTGAGGGTTTACATCCAAGTTCAAAAGTGACCCACAGCTTTGCACCCTTCTTGGATTTGAATAGCAGTATAGCAGGAATGCTGTCACTCTTCCAGAAATCAACTTTTGTTAGAGTATCATTATAAATATATATATAAAGTGCTATCCAAATGTGGGTGTATTCTGAAAAGACTTCAGTAATTCCCATAAAACAAGATGGTTTTTAAACAAACGTATAATATTGGCATTCACTGAAACTTGAAATATATAATTTTA